CCTCCTGGGATTTGAACACACACACATACACACACACACTTGGTGTGACTTTCAAGCTTCCAGGTCTGGGACTCGAACTATGGTCAGCCGTGTGGGAGTCCAACACTTAACCAGCACCCCACCTGCTGGTCCATGCTATTTAATCTTGAAATACATCATCGAATGGACACAAACAAGATGAGCTCCCACAAACTGCTGAACTGCTGGCCCTGAGCCCCAGCAGGTCTCACCTTCCCCGGCGGCCGGAGGTCCCCTCTCGGTGGCATTATGTGGGCGTGCACAGGGGCGGGGGGGGGTGCCCTGAGAAACGTGCTGTCGGGCGGCTTTGCTGCTGTGCCACCGTCACGGTGCAGGCTCCTCAGGGAGTGCGAGCCCACACACCCCTCGGTGGCACTGTCACCCACGTCTGCGATCCCCCACTGCCTGGAGCACCCTCGCGCGTGCGGCTGTGTCTCAGGGGCCCGTCTTGCGCTGGCTCTCATGCAGGCTGTGGCAGACCCACTGCTTTGTGCACTGGTGCTGTTTGGCGTCTAGATTAGTATTCGTTTGTGTCCAGCGTAGAGTTCCCTTTTCCATGGCCCCGGCAATATTAGGACATTAGGAGGTGGCCCTGCAGTGAAGGCTGCGCCCCAAAGCCGAGGCAGACCCCGCTCTCCGCACTGCCAGAGGGCGATGCTCGTGCACTTAGAGTTCTGAAGCCAGAGCGCTTGGAGCCCGGAGGGAGGACCTGGGGAGCATTCACTACTGTGTGCTGAAAGCGGTCTGAGATGCAGGAGACATGACCCCAGAGTTCGGGAGAGATTTCTCTCTGCTTTTGATGCGAATACTTTGAAATTCCATACCCACTAAATAGGCATCTTATGCAATCGAGCCTTTGTAGAAATCCGAGTGCCGACCTTCTCCTTCTCCCCTTGAAGCCAGCCAGTGACTCATCCCGGAGCCCACTGCCTGCGGGTGTCGGCAGAGCCGGCTGGCGGCCTTCCTCTGCGCGTGGCTCGCCGGCTGCTGGCATGACGGACATTGTCCAGGTTTCCCGGATAAAGCACACCCTTTGGGAGTTTCTCCTCCCCTGCGTGTTTTCAGAACCCAGCCATTGCTGTGCCGCTCTGTCTCAGTCGCCTGCATCTTGCCACATGCAGGCTCTGCCTGTGTTCCCCGTGGTCCCCAGGCCTCGAAGTCGGTGTGCCACGGCGTCTGTCCCGCTGCCTGCCTCAGCGTGTCCTGAGCGCTCCTGCCATTGTCCCAGTGTCGCTTGTCCCGGGCCTCATGAACCTGCAGCTACCGTGCAGGAGGAATTCGTCGTGGGGTTCACAAGGGGAACTTTCCATGGAAAGGGCGTCGGCCTGCTTGCATGACTCAGAGCGAGTGTACTTTCTGCTGTCGTTGAAAGTGGGGCTGTCCTTGAGTGCGCGAACAAGCCTTCATGAAGCAAGCGTGCGTGCCGGCACCTGCGCGCACGGGTCGTGCGTGCTTGGGCAAAGGCTCCTTCTGGGAAACCTGCTTTTAGCTGCCGATTATAAAAGATTGTTTTCCAGAGTCTCTCCAAGTTGCAGCTCCCACATCATAAAATGCTAACACGCTTTTTTCCAACCGATTAACCTCTACCACATGTTTAATACAAAGAAATGAGCAGCCGTGACCTGACCTTATTACCGAGTGGATCGGCCTCAGATTTCTCTCACGAGTATCACTGGCCTGTCCAGCTGATCACGGAGTTTTCAGAGGATGATAAAGCCATTGAATGTACTGTGACATACTTTGACATTGTAACGATGCCAGTGCTGTTTCTGTGCTAGTTTTTCCATGCATGCACCGTAGCATCTCACCAATGGGGCCGGCATGCCTCAAGTAACCCGCGTCTCAAACGCGGGGCTGCCCCCGCGGGCCCGTCTTCTGTTAGGCGCTGGACTCGGGCTCTGCTCTGTGCTTAAAAATGAACAGAAGGATCACAGGCTCCTGGGAAGGAGCTCCAGGGGAGGGCAAGAAGGCGCTCACATCTCCAACCAGTGGCACGTCAGTTATCTTACCTAGCCGGCGCACCCGTGTCGCCTGGCACACCTGAGCATTTCCTCACTGCCAGTGCACACGCGTTCCTCAACCACCACCACGCTGCATACCGGCTTCGCACACTCAGAACTGGAGGGAGAGTTCTCCCTCTTGCCTCCTCCCCGCCAGTCCTCTGCCTCCTGTGTGCTACTCCTGTCTAGTCCTCTCGAAGTAAGGCCTCTGCCACTTCTCTTTTACCTCCTGTCAAGCCTGATCACTTGAATTCCTCTTTGGGGGGGGGGAAGACCCCAGAGCTGCCCCCAGTTTATTTCTCCTCATCTTAGAGTTGGAAAACTCTCCACCCTCTGTGCAAATACCACTCCCCTCCTCCCTAGACGAGTGTGGCCTTGAACTGCCCTGCACACCAGCACAGCCCGGTGAGGGGCCCAGGAAGGTGCCGGCAGGAGCACCTGGGAAGACTGCGGGTAAAGGATCCCAGCAGGGCTGGCCTTAGGGCCTCCCCAAGTGAGCCACCCTCTCTGGCTGGAAGACAGACAAAGCTAATGGCACCGAGCTCCAGGCTGCTCCAGGGGTAACCAGAAACACAACGTGGAAGTTGGTGTCCACGTTGTGACTGTCGCCATCCCTGAGATTGAAACGCAAGTGTTACAAAATGTTCTTTGGGACTGGACAACATCCTTAATTGTACTTAAATAATAGGCCAGTGAGAGGCGCCTCCTGCAGGAAGGGAGATGATCGCCGACGTGATGTCTTCTGTGGCTGCAGAAAATCACGCCTGCCTGCCAGTGTGTGAAACTCCGCACGAAACCCCTCTGTGGGAAACAGCAGGTCAGAAGAGAGAAAGCCCCAGATCTGGTGTAAAACTCCACTTACAGAAATGCCTTCTAATGCAGGTCATCTCACGTATTTTTAAAAAGGTGTAAGCCAGATACGTGTCTACAGGAGAGATCTTAACAGCGAAATCAGGAGTAATATAAATATCCCACCTAGGCAGGTAGCTGATGACCAGGGATTCATGCACAGAAATACATAAAGCCGTCCACTGAGAAATCAGACAGTTGAAAGACTTTGCAGCAACTACTGGTTTTGAACAAAGCACAGTATAAAGCTGAACACGAGCCCAATCAGATCAAAACCTGCACCGAGGCAAGGACACAGGCACACCAGTGTGCGAAGGGCGACCGGAAGGAGCTTTATAAACTTGTCTGTATCTCCCCTATTTTCTACAGGGAGTAGATACTATTTATAATGACTAGTGACCTTATATCTAACAGACTACAAACCTCCCCATCAGTCAGCTTTCTAGAAAGACGTAGGGGTCATCTACCTGTTACTCAGTGTCAGCTTCCAGAAACTAACAGCTACTTCTCTGTTTGCGAGATGACCTCAGGAAACTGCAGAATCAAGTAACAAACTGAAGCCCTTCTCCAGGCCAAATTCTGAATGCACGGTTCTTCCTGTCCAGGACTTATGTCTTCAAGGGAGTGCCAGAATCCCATGCTTACTCAGTGCAAACCCACAACGATACAGTTTGACCGCAATGTTATAAAGAACATAAGCTTCCCAGCCAGCAGGTCCTCCCCTCTGGACAGAACTAGGGTAGTGTACCAGGAAGCAGACCACCAGCTCAGTGTGGCAACTCGCAGGCTCAGACACTCCATGCTAGTTCACCCAGATACACAGCTTTCATTAACAGGCGCATCACCAACTCCCTAGTTTACAGGGTTACCAGCTGGAGAGGACGTGGAGAGGAAAATCATTCGTCACATAGGGAAACCAGGAGCAGAGGCGGGGAGATACTCCCTCAAGACAAGCCAAGTGAGAGCGACACCCAGTGCGCCTCCCCAGGGAGCATGTGGAATGGCCACACGGCCAGTGGCCTGGTCAGAGTGCACACGTTTCCTGCTGGTGCGGTGCAATCGGGCGTGGTCCTCAGCTCAGCGCCGCTGGCCAGAGTTCTGGCCGACGGCTCAGGCCTGAGCCCAGGTAGACCAGGACTCCCAGCCCTGTCTTTTACCAGCCATGGCTCCTGGGAAAGGTTTCAAGTCTCTGTCTCTCTTTCTCTTTCTTCCTCTGCACAAATCTAGAGGGGCCAGAAGAGCAGAGGATGTCCAGCAGCAGAACAGAAAATGCCGCATCCCCACAGGGTCCTCTGTCCCAGAGCCATATTCCTGACCCCTCGTGACTTACAAGCACACCGTGCGACCTCTGGAGCCCATTTTTACAGAACTAAAGCCCGGCCACGCTTACCCTGAACCCTAATTCTGAAGCTATACTCCGTCACCGTCCAGGGACCATCCTGTGAGCCGCTAATGCAAATCCCAGGGCCGGGCAGCACCGGCTTTCCAAGAGCATTACACAAACGCTGGCCACCACTCGTCCAGGGACGGTTAGAGGACACAGGCACCAGAGGCCACGATCCAAGAGGCTCGCAGAGGTGGAACGCCAGAATGGCAGGGCCGCCCTTCAGATCTTCAGACGTGGTCTGTGGTCTGTGCCTGCATTCAGATGGCCTCAGGGGCAGGCCTCGGCTCAGGCCAGGACCAGGGGAGTCCTTCCTACGCCATGCAGCAAGGGCCTGGCTGTAAAGGCAGGTTCAGTCGTGTAACAGAACCAGTGGGGGATTGAGTACTGCCTGCTGTCCGGTCTACCAGGCAGGAATCGTCCTTTACCCACACGAACGTCTGAACGCTGTCTGAACCCGAGCAGGAGGAGCACGGCTCACTCAGAAAGCATCTCCGGCTTCTATTGCTAAACATAATCTGCTGCTTTTCTCTGACTCGCTTTGGAGACCCCGCTAGGAGCAGCCTTGCTCAGAAACAATGTGTGGGTCAGGGCAAGGATGCTTTACTTATTTACAACAAACTGAAGGGCAGGGGACAGGGAGGTGGCAGGCGAGGGCCAGCGGAACTGATGTTCTGCGCTGCACCCCAGGATTCTACAAGTCATCAGTGACCCAACACCAGTTAATAAAGGCACCGGTGACAACTTACCCAAGGTGACTGGACAAGTTCATGGAAATACAAAAGAGAAGAAGGTTTTTGATCATGATAAAGCTAGAGAACTTTCCATTGTCCATTCCCAAGGAGAATAATAGTTGAAGCAGATGAGTTTAGAAGAGTAACTCTTTCTTTCTGCAGCTCAGTCTTGTAGCTGAAAAGCACACAGAGAGGAAAGACACGAGAGTGAGTGTGTGTGTCCCAGAGCCTGGAACTAAATCAGATTGCCCCTAGCATAGCAATTTACAGGGAAGGGGAGTCTCTGCCCAGACTGCTGTACCCTGGTGGGACCCTCTCATTGGGCGGTAAGTTGGGGGCATAAAAGAAGTTACAGGAAGGCTTAATTTGTACTAATTCAGAGGACAGAACTGCTCGTGTCTTTGTTTTGTATGTCAAACACTGTCTTCCTTTTTAGCATGTTATCAAGTGAGCCATTAGCCCAGTTATTAAAGTAAGTCATCTGAACAGCTGATCCTGTACCTGTCAGATCCACAAGTGGGGCACTGTGGCCTTTCTGAATGTCTGCCCCACGGTCAGCGCTCAGAGCCGGCTATCTAACTCTCGGTCTACAAGGTGCTGAGGGTAAGTGTGTGTTAAGAGGGAAAGACACATTTAAGAAGCAGGCCCACAGCACCCATCAAGACCCTGCTGCGTTCTGGGTCTGTGCCCAGGGCAGGTCACTTAATCACCGGTCTGGGGGAGTCGGTCCATTCTGTGCTGGGTCTTTTTTAATGCATTTGAAATGCAGGCAGGCACTGTCCCCAGCCCCACACCTAACATGAGCCAGGGCACGATTTCTCCATATGCGCAGACGGAATAGGAGCTCATGACCCGCGCACCCCACCCAGGGCTCCCAAGGGGATGTCTTCTCCAGCAGACCCCCGCGGACTCCACAGCTGGGAGGCGTACAACAGGCGCTTCCCGCTCCGAGGAAGGCCCTTTGTGACTCCGGCCACGGAGGACAGGGTTCCAGCCGGTGGTTGCCTGGGTGAGTCCTGGGCTCCTCGCTAGACCCCGGCGATAGTCCGGGCGGCGAGCACGCGGCGCTGCATGCGGGAAACCTGGGTGGCGTCTGCTGCCACCCCCTGGCTCTGAGCCAGGACCCTCAAGAAGAGGCTGCGCTCCTCCAGTTCCCGCGCCGCCCTGAGGCTCTCCGCGGCCGGCGCGCCGGGGTAGGGGGGTAGGTGGGCGCCGAGCGGCACTGCGGAGCTGCAGCCTTGGCCGCCCGGTGCCCGCGGCGGGCAGGGCCGCCCACCCCGTC